GATGTAGGACCTTGCACTTCACTTTTTTGAACTCCATGGGGTTTATATTGTTCCACCTCTCAAGCTTGTCAAGGTCCCTCTGGATGTCCCATCCCTTCCCTCCAGCTGTGACTGCCCCATAAGTGTATGGGTCAGTGAACTTGCTGAGGGTGCACTCAACCCACCGTCCATGTCGCCAGCAAAGATGTTGAACAGTGTTGGCCTCACCATGGAGGTCAAATGAGTGGTGAGCTGGAGACCCCCAGGAAGGACTGTGCCTCCCTCCTTCATGCCAGCACCACAAAGCTCCCTGCACCAAGCCCCTTCCTCGTGGCTTTGCCCTGGCTCACCGTGATGACACCTTTCTCCTGCATGCGGCCCGGGGTGTCGTGCAGGTCGGCGAAGCGCACGGCCACCTGGTAGTACACAGGCAGGAGCAGCTCCTCCCGTGCCTTCAGCTGCTTCTCCAGCTCCTTGCGCTGTGCCTCGGACAGCTCAGGGGTCCCTGGGGGATGTGCCACGCTGAGCAGCCCTGGTGATGGCACCCACAGGCCACCGTGGTCCCTCTGTGCCCCCTCCTCAGCCACCCCCAGCAGGAAACAGGATCCCAGTGCCATGTCCCTTTGCCTTGGCACAATTCCACCTGAGCCCAGCCACAGAGGGCCTGGCCACAAAGGGCTGCACTGTGTTTGGTGCCTGCCACAAGAGAGGGGAGGTGACACCTGCAAGGGCTTTGTGGGACCATGTTGCAGCAGGGTGGAGGGACATGGGGGCAATGACCTCCCGATGCATTGGGTAGTGATTCAGCATGGCCATTGCCATTCTTCATCTTAAAGCATGGGAGAAGACTCCAGTCCCATTCAGAGAGTCCCCAGGAGATACATGTGTTCTAAGGTGCCACCACATCATCTTGCCTCCACCATCAGAAAAGCCAGAAAGAATTTTCCCAGAGGAACACTAAAGGATTTCCTGGTGGTTGCCACCAGAGTGCTTGAGCCTCATGGTTTAACTTACCACCACCAATATCCTCAAGCCAAAAATCCCCTTCCCTTACCCATCTGCTCAACGAGCTTGGCATAGACTGTATCAATCCTTCTCATGGTCTTCACCAAATCCTTCTTTCTGAACTTGATCTCCACTGTTCCTCCAGGCTCCAAAATGCCACCCCTGGAAGGGAAGTGGGGACTAGTCAGAATGGAAGAATAGATTCTGGAGAAGAAATGCAGCTCTTTCTTCCGAGAATCAGGGAGAAAACCTCAAAGGGTTTTGCTTCCAATCTGGAATTCTTGTCTGTCCTCCCACTCCTCACAGCTCACTGCAGTGTGCATTAAGGTTAGAGAAAAGACCTCCTGCCCCAGAACCATGGTTTACTCTCCCACAGCCTGTGCTGGATGCAGGAGGATATTCCAAGGAAATACCTTGGGGATATCCCAAGCCTTTCTATGACCTACCATGCTGCTCTGCAAGAAGCCTGGACTTGTCCCTGATGGCTTCAAAAGGGTTAAAAACAGACACCAAGCAACAGGAGGTCCCTCCAGGGGATGTGACCCTGCAGTCCCCAGGCCCCAGCTCTCACACAGGCCGTGGAGGACACACAGGTGGTTGGGACACTGACCTGCTCTCCTTGTCTGCGTAGAGCTCCACGTAGAAGGGGTTGATGGTGGAGTCGATGACCACCCAGGAGCCTCCTCGCAGCTCTGCATGGGGTGGGATGTAGACCAGCACAGGCTGCTTGAAGTCTCTGAGGCTGTCCACGATGTAGGCACCAAACTTCAGCATTTGGTCATACATGTCTGAAAGCCAAAGGGACACAGCGTTGGGTGACTCAACTGTATGGACCTGGTCACTGCCCTGACCTCCTCCCAGCTGCCCAAAGCACCTTCTCCACTGAGGAGACAAAAAAACACCCCAAAACCAGCTCAGCAAAAAGTCATCAACCTCTGGAGCCCTGGTGGTCCTGGTGGTGCCCCATCACCTCCCCATCCCAATCCCACAGTTCTGAGGAGTGTGGGTGGGACCCTGGTAGGCTGGGACATCCAAGGACTCTATAGGGTGGCAGGGATGGTGGAAGTACATCATGGCACAGGAATCTGGGCATGCCAAGCACTAGAGTACCTTTCATGCCACTGGAGAAGCCTCTCCAGTTGGCAAAGATCATCAGCGGGAGGTGCTCCCGGTTGAAATCCCGAATGACCTGGGCTGTTTTAAAAGCAGAGTCTGGGAACCAGACCTGCCCAGCCTGCTGGATTATCTGGAAAAAAAGATGAGCAATAGTGCTGAGGCTGGTGCTGGTGCTTCCCAACACCCCAGGAGAAACAGCTGAGAGAAAGCAAACTGACCCAGCACCCTTGGTTTCACCAGAATGACTGAAAGTAAAGACATGCCAAAGGATCATGCTAAGCTTTTTCCCTTCTCTCCCCTCCAATCTCCTCTTGGATGCTGCTTGGCCTCACTAAGGTCTTCCCACACACCTTTGCCTCTGAGTCCAGGTTGGCAGGGTCAGCAGGTATCATCACCTCCACGGTGCGAGTCTCCACAGCAATGACACCCACGGGGAGACCTCCCAGCCTGTGAGGAGGCAGGGGGGGCTCAGCAGAGACCAGTTCCCCTCCATGCTGCACCCCAGCCCCACCAGAGAGCTGCTCCCCCTCCACCATCCCCAGAGCAGTGCCACAGCCAGGGTTTGGGTGCACCTGGCCATGGGTGCAGATTCCCCATGTCACCCCCTGCTCCAGGTTCCATCTCCTGCTCCAACCAGTACCTCGCTCTGCCAACCACCACTGTCTGAGCCCATGGCTTCATGATCTCCATGAAGCTGTCCTTGTCAAAGAAGCCACTCTGCCAGGTCCCCTTGACAGCTGTGGAGCACAGGAAAATGTGGGACGGTGCAATGGTGAGCACCAAAGGGCTCCCTGTGCACCAACCCAAGGCCAAAACACCTTCTGCACCCAAAAGATACACCTGGGAGCAGTGCTGCAGAGGTCTCAGGTTAGCCTCACTTACTTGGGTGGGGTCTCCCTGCCAGCATCCACCTGGGGTCATAGGGGACTTTGGAAGGGACAAAATCAATTTCTCTTTCCACAGGGTCACTTATGGCAATGACAGGCACTGGGCTCTGGTTATCCTGCAAGAGAGATCCCAAAGGGCAGGTCACCAGCCAGGTATGGGGTCACAGCCCCCAGCACCATCCTGCAGCACCCTCCTACCTTGGGTACGTATGAGAGCCACTGCAGGATGGTGTAGACACCCTCAAAGTCATCAGGGACGGTGACGTGGGACACGCCGTTGTTGTGCATGATCTGAACTCCTCCCAGCTGGTTATTGGATGTGTAAACCTCACGGCCCAACACCTAGACAGAGGTACCAGCAGAAACAGATTGGGCTCTGCTAACACAGGAGCTGCTCCCTTGCTCTGGCTGTTAATCCAAACCTCTGCACAGGCACATTCCCTCTGGTCTGAGGTTGAATTTCCATATCTGTCCAGGCTGATGCTAAAGCAAAGGGATCCTGCTTTAGTGTATGGGTTTGGTGAAGGTTTGAAACCAGCTCAATCCAGTGTGAGTCTGCCCAAAGATGGGTCCTGTCCCTGGGGCTGGAACCCAACAGCCCCAAGGCAGCTCTGCCATCCCATCCTGCCCTAGGAGTGATGTCCTGGCCCCAAAAACAACACCAAAAAGCTTTGGGGTGATGTTCTTGCCCCTGCAGCTCCTCCAGACAGCTCTCCATGAGGTGACATGCATGGAAGTGTCACCTCTTCCCATGGGACAGGCAAGGAGCCCACACAGGCAGTGGTGTGAGGGGACAGTGCAGGGCACAGTACCTTATTGAGAGCTGTGACACCCGTGAGGATGATGTGGGAGTTCTCCACCTGGATGACACGCTGGCCCAGCCTCACCAGGTACGCGCCGATCCCGATGGCACGGCAGGTCACCTGGGCACACACACAGGGACATGGGGGTCACTGGGGGGATAAGGCTGCAGCACAGACCACAAGAACCTGGGGAAGGATGCTCTGCAGGGGTCTGCACTGTCAGGTCACACCAGAAGGCTTGGTGCCTCCTTTCACCCTTCCCAGGTGACTTCAAAAGCAAGCAGGCAACAGAGAGGGCCCATGGCTGTACCATGCTGATGGTCACTATTTCATCATAGGCACGGGAAGACTCCCCAGCAATGGTTCCAGCAGCTCTCAGGTTTTCCACCCCAAATCCATTGTCCTTCCCAATGATGTCCAGGAGGACATACCTGCAGGGAAAGCAGAGCCACAGTGTGGGCAGGACAGAGGGAAGAACTCACCTGCATATGTGCCTGGCAGGATGCTGAGCCAGGAGGTGGGAGCTGCATCCTGGAGGGGTGTAGGGCAGGCCTTGGGGTGGTTCTGTGTGCCCCATGGGACACCAGGGCTCACCTGGACTCACCACCTTCCTCCACGTGCTCACAGCGCACTGAGTTCATGGTGCTGATCCTCGTGTAGTCCTGGGGAGTCAGGTACAGGTACCTGAACCCCTGAAAATGAAGAGGAAGAGCAGTTGTGAGCACTCTATGCACATGCCCATGTGAGCCACAACCCCTCTCCAAAGCCACTCCAAACCCATCACCAGTGGGCTGAGGGACCAGGGCTGGACAGAGCAGCCATGCCAGCACTGTCTCCTTTATCTCCACCACCTAGGAAAAGCCAAGGGAACCTTCCCCACGGTGCTGGGTGCAGGTTTGAGCTCACACCCATCTCCCATCCTGGTTTGATGCCCTAGTTTAGCTCTGGTCCCTCCTTCTCCAACTAAGTCTGTTGTTTTCTGCACTGCAGGAGGGAAGGTGCCCACACACCTTGTCAGGCTCTGCAGGGTCCACCCAGGCCACCTGGAACATGTGTTTGATCTCATCGGCGAAGCCGATGCGAGCGCCGCTGTTGGCAGAGATGTAGATGCGGGGGATGCCCTCGGCCCGTGCCAGCTCCGAGGCCCTCAGGAACACCAGGTCCTCCTCAGGCCCAAAGGAGCCAATCTTGTGTGTGATGTCATTGCAGATGAGCACGATGTCGCGGCCTTTGGGATACTCAGGGGTCTTCAGCTTCATTTTGAAAGCAACCATCCCCACCTGCCCCAAACCACACGAGGTTACAGGGCAGAATCCTCCAGAGAATCACAGAATCATTGAGGTTGGAAAAGACCTCCAAGATCACAGAGTCCAACCTTTGACCGATCACCACTTCGTCAACTAGACCAGACCACTGAGTGCCAAGAGACAAAGGGGCTGAGATGCAGGTGGCATTAACCAACAGATAAAATGGTTGAGGAGTATCTCCCAAGCTCTAAACACAGACTGAGCCACCAGCCATTCCCACCTGTTTCCCCTGCCCCATTCCCAAATCATCCCCTGCTACCTCATTCACTCCAGGGACCCTGTTCATCTGCACAAGGTGCCCCTGTGAGTCCAGCACCAGCTCAGTGCATGTCAGGATGTCCTTGGGGTATGGGTCCAAGTCACCCCAGAGCTTGAAGAGAGCCTGTGGAGACACAACACACAGGATGAGCTGAAAGCAGGGAAAGGAGCAGCTCCCAGGACATCACCCAGCATGGACACACACTCCTGCAGCAGGCTGGGGTTGGGGGGAGCACAACTGTGTGTCAGAGACCCCCACCACTGCAGCCCTCTTTGCATGGGGCCTCCTGGTTCACATCCTCCTTGAGTGCAGCCAGGGCAAATTGCAAGACTCATGGAATCCTGGAATGGCTTGGGTTGGAAAAAAAAACCCCATCTCCTGCCATGAGCAAGGAGAGCTAAGAATTCCAAGAGCTAGGAACTGGTTTAGAAATGCAGATGCAATAATTCAGAGCCTCTTTCTGCTCAGCCAGACTCACCTGCCTGATCATCTGTGGGAAGTCATACACATAGGTGGTGCCCAAGGACTGTGCTTGGAACCTTTTGGCCTGAAGCAGGTCCTTGGTGACGTAGGGGGTGTTGATGAGCATCCCATGCTGTGGCCCCTGCTTGCCCCCATACGACTGGAACATGATCTGGAGAGAAGGGCAGAGCCTTGACTGCTTTCCCCTAGCACACAGATGAGTCTTCTGCTGGAGCACTGCTGAGCTCTGCCTGGCCAATCAGCCAAATCATGTTTTTTCACCCCACTCATTGCTATTGAGGGGACAGTGTCACATTGCTGTGCTGCAAGTACCAGTGACACCCTAACCTTCACCTCCTAGACCCAAAACTGCCCAATTCTTCACCAGCATCACTCTGAGGAGCCCAACTGGATGGAGCTCAGCACATTTTGAAGCAAAGCATCATCCCAAGGAGCCCAACTGAGAGAGGAGTGAAACCAATCCAACTCAGGGCATGCTGTTGGAAGTCTGAGGACTCTGGGACAGATCAGCATTGCAGGTGCACAAGGAGTTTTGCAGAAACCCTCCAAAGCTCTGCCACGGCCAAGAGTGCTCAGGTACTCATGGTTGGGTTCTTGCAGCCACCACTGTGGTTACTCACGCTGCCAGTGCCAGGGTCCTTCACTTCCTTGTAGAGGCTGATGTCCAGGTAGTATCCAGACTCGTTGGTGAGGAAGAGGCGGATGGGGATGGCAGTGGCAGTGGGTGTCAGGCGGATGTTGATCTTCACCTCAGCCTGCAGGACCCGCAGCTTCCAGAGGCGACTGCCATAGCGCATCACCATGGACCTCACCGACTCCTCAATCTGGGCATGGGATGGACATGGATGGGTCACTGGCCCCAGGGACCACACTGCCCTTCAGCACACAATGCCAAGGGTGGAGCAGCCCCATCGCATCGCCTCCATAGGCATTTCAGATTTGCTTTAGGTGATCCCCTCTCTCTCCATCCCTCCATCCCTGGGGCCTGGTGTTGCCATCCACCCTGTCCACTGGGGAGAGGGAGAGACGGGTGGGAGGTGGCTGCCCATCTGTGGAGCGGTACTGAGCACAGGGTGTGACACACCCTCCACCCCCAGATCAACAACACCCTGCCAGCAGGAAGCAGGACCCCCAAGCAACACACCTTGGAAGGGTCCATGATGACGTTGGGGACGAAGTTGAGGAAGATGTGGTTGCAGTCGGTGCGGACGATGGTGTTGTTGAACGCCACCTCCAGCTCATCCATCGCCTCCAGGAGCATCCGCTCACCCTCATTCTGCAGGTACTCGAAGGAAGCCTCCTGTGGTGGACCAAGCAGCTCAATGCTGGCTGGAACAACCCAACACTCAAACCATGCCCACCTCTACCCACCCCCACAGGCACTCAATGCCCCCTTACCTTGGTGATGAGGTCCGAGTGGCGCACGATGGCGCGGATGAAGAAGCGATAGTCGGTGGCCTCGACGCCAGCCTTCACCTTGGCAGCCCCCAGGTACAGGTGCATCTTGTGGTTGGCACAGGGGATGGCCGTGAGGTCGAAGTTGCGCATGCGGCTCAGCTCCAGTTGGAAGGCGAGCGCCGGCTCCAGGTGCCGGTAGATGCGATCCTCTGCGAACTGCCGCGGCACAGCGGTGAGGGAACGGCACGGCCAGCGCTGGCTGAGCTCTGCTCCCACCAGGGCTTACCTCATCCCTGGCTCTGAACGTGAAGAACTTCGGGAATTCTCTCTAGGGTGAAAGCACAGAGAGGACAACATGAATAATCCTGGCGTGGAGAAGGTTGTTCTGATTTTCAGTGAGTTTGTTGAACAGAAATCACCCTGTTGGCTTTGCTCTCTCCTGAAGGGAAAAGGGCTGGGAGGAATCCATCAGATTAAGTTTTAGGAAAAAATCCTTCCCTGTGAGGGTGCTGAGGCACAGGTTGCCCAGAGCAGCTGTGGCTGCTCCATCCCTGGAAGTGTTCCAGGCCAGGTTGGATGGATCTCTGAACAACTTGGTCCAGTGGGAGGTGTCCCTGCCCATGGCAGGAGGAACAGGATGAAAGGTCCCTCCCAAATGACACCATTCCATGATTCTATAGCTGAGAAAAGATGTGGAACAAAAGACATCAATGCCTTGAGTAGTTCCCTGAACACCAATCTATACTGACTGTTATGATGCCTTTTCAAGGCAGCTCAAAGCTATGGAGTGGCCCTGCTGGAACCACGTTAGTGGAGACATGAGCAGGATAAAGGATGATCCAGGAGATGAATCACATGACACCATTCCATGATTCTATAGCTGAGAAAAGATGTGGAACAAAAGACATCAATGCCTTGAGTAGTTCCCTGAACACCAATCTATACTGACTGTTATGATGCCTTTTCAAGGCAGCTCAAAGCTATGGAGTGGCCCTGCTGGAACCACGTTAGTGGAGACATGAGCAGGATAAAGGATGATCCAGGAGATGAATCACTCATTGAATCCCTCATTAGTTAATTCCCAGCTCCTGATGTGCAGTGGGTTCATCCATCACCCAGTGCTGTGTCTCTAAGGTATTGATAGATGTCTCACTCTGCACTCACCTGCTGAGCAATGAGGAACGTGATCCTCCGGAGACCACACTCAACAAGGACATTTTTCTGTGAGGAAACAGAAGATTCCACCAGTCATGAATGAGAGTTTAAACATCTCCACCAAGGAAGCAAACACAACCCAAGCTATAGCATTTTGGGGAGCATCATGTGGACATGAGGCAGTCCATGGGATATGGTGCCCTGGCTTGCAGGGTCTGCAAAATGGGATCTGGCCCTGCTGACAGACCTTGGACTGGGCAAAGGCTCTGAAGATGGGTACCAGCTTCTCATCTTCCATGTGCTCAGCAGAGCAGAGCGCAATGTTGAGGATGTGTATCGGCTCCTCATGGATGTTCTGGCAAGAAAATGTTCCTGTCAACCCCAACCAGCAGCACCACTGCCATCCCAGCTCCAGCTGGGGGTGGTCAGCAGTAGTAGTGTGCTCACCTTGGAATCCTCTTCTTCGTAGATGGTGGTTCGTGCCTCGCTGAGCACTGCTCTCTCTGGGGAGTTGGCGAAGCACGAGATCACTTCATCAAAGTTCCTGCCCAAACAGCAGGGATGGGGTGAAAAATCAGCATGTTGTGCCTGAGGGGACAGCATCAGGGACCCACAACATGGTCACAACAGGGACATGGGTACCAGCACAGTGGTCCAGAGCATGTGCCAACTCCACCATCCCAGGGCAAACTCACAGCCCATGAGATGTAGTACTGCTGTGTTAGCATGCAGAGATGTTTAACCTGAGTCAGGTAAGCTTTCCCCATGTCCCCAAAAGCCACATCATGTCCCCAAACAGGTAACTGTTGTACTGAGAATTCCCAGCTTCCAGCTGTGATAGGAACTGGAGCTGCCTCAGGCACTGCCCAGCTGCCCCCAGATGTGGCTCTTACACCCTGTTTTGCTCTCTAATGACTGCAGCAGCACCCAAAACACATATACACCAGCCAGGTATGTTCCTGCACCCTCACCTTGTGAAGTCCTCAAATCTCTTGAAGGCCACCATGGCTCCCATCCGCTGGCTTGCAGGGGAAAAGCCACTGTCCATGAAGAGCTCGGTGCTGTGCCGGGCCAGGTCGGGGTTGGAGATGCTGATGGGGACAGACATCCTGTGAGGAGGAGCAAGGCAGCCATCAGACACAGGTGGAGGCACCACTCCAAGGTCCAGCCAGGACCGTGCAGGTCCCACATGGGATCCTGGAGCAGAGAAGGCTCATCCTGCTCCACTGGCAACAGGAGAGCACAGGGCACATCTCCTGCTAAGGGTCCATGTGCTTCACATGGAGGGAATGATACAACCCCACAGCTTTGTGAACAGAACCATGTCCAGGGGAGTGGGACAGGTGTGTGGGACCCCCATACATGTTTGGGTGGGAGGAGGGCAGCATGAACTGGAACTCCACCAGGCAGGTGCCATCGGAGAGCTGCCGGTGCTGCAGGCTGTTCAGCTCGTAGGCAATGTACCCTCGTCTGACGTACACCTGCCAGGGGGACACAGCAGGTACTGCCATGCTCCTGCTCCCCCCACACCACCCATGCCACCCCCAGAGCCCCCAGCCCTCACCTCCAGTGCTGCCATCCGCACCACCTCGTTGGCGTGGTAGAAGAAGACAGGAAGCACATCGAAGATGGAGGTTTCTGACAGGATCAGTTTCTGGGGGAAGAAAGCAGAATTTATGGCAAGGATGAAGCAGAAGCCCCTTGACCCATGGTAGGAGGAGGGTTCTCAATGTGGGGCTGTGCAGGACTAGCCACTAGAGCACTGGTGTCCACCCAGCCCACCATGGCAGGGACAGATGTGGATCCAAACAGGATGTAGAGCAGGAGGTGGAGACTGAGCACTGGGGTGCACTCCCCCTCTGCTCCACACAGCCACTGCAGCAAGGCTTTGAGTGCTTTGTGCACTGAACCACTTGCAGCCAGACCCCCTGCCAAAAGCCACCTGAATCTCTGGAAAGCAGCAGAATTCCTAACCTTCAGGTTTTCAGGGCAGTACTCGTGTCCATACATGTCGATGGCAGAGATGAAGATGGACTCCACCTGGTTGTGCCTCAGCTCATAGGAAGGCATGTGAGAGGCAATCAGCACCTGCAAGGGGAGAGGGGGAGCTGGGAGGGAGGGAGGCAGGGATGGGGACAGGGATGGGGATGGCACTTGCTGACCTGCCGAGCTCTCAGCGCCACTTTGGAGTGCTCAACCTTGCTGAGCTGTGTCAGCTCGTGGAGGATGGTTGTCAGCTCATCAGTCAGCGTGGGGTCACGGCCACACAGCTGGTCCTGCAATGTCACACCACCACGGCTCAGGCTCCTCACTGTGGGGTGGATTCATCCCAAATCCCAGCCCTGCACCAGGTGGCTTCATCCTGTACCCCAACCCCACATGGGATGGCTTCATTCTGCACTGGATGACTTCATCCTGCACCCCAACCCTGCATGGAATGGCTTCATCCTGCACCCCAACCCTGCATGGAATGGCTTCATCCTGCACCCCAACCCTGCATGGAATGGCTTCATCCTGCACCCCAACCCTGCATGGAATGGCTTCATCCTGCACCCCAACCCTGCATGGAATGGCTTCATCCTGCACCCCAACCCTGCATGGAATGGCTTCATCCTGCACCCCAACCCTGCATGGAATGGCTTCATCCTGCACCCCAACCCTGCATGGAATGGCTTCATCCTGCACCCCAACCCTGCATGGAATGGCTTCATCCTGCACCCCAACCCTGCATGGAATGGCTTCATCCTGCACCCCAACCCTGCATGGAATGGCTTCATCCTGCACCCCAACCCTGCATGGAATGGCTTCATCCTGCACCCCAACCCTGCATGGAATGGCTTCATCCTGCACCCCAACCCTGCATGGAATGGCTTCATCCTGCACCCCAACCCTGCATGGAATGGCTTCATCCTGCATCCCTAGCCCCACACAGGCAATAGGAACAAGACCCACTAAAATGGGCAAAATGCTGCTCTTTGAACCAAGTGTAACCATGCAATGCCTCAGAGGGGAGATAATTAAAATACAGGGATAAAGGGATAACAAGGCAGGAATACAAACTCCAAACCCTGGGATGCATTTGAACACAGGAGCAGAAAAGTAGTTTCCCAGGTGTCCCCATGTCAAGGGGAAAACATGAGGCTGTGACAGCCACTCACAGCCACATCTGTCCCACAGCAATGTGGAGCTGCCTTGGCATACAGACCCTTCTCTACCTCCTGCCTTTGCTCCTGGAATCTCAGGCATGAGCTGTACTCACAATTAACATGATCACCAGCAGGTTCTTCTTGGCCACCTGGGCATGGGAGAAGATGCTCTCCAGCACTGGGTTCATGTCAGGTTTGCACTGCTCCCTCAGGCTGATGACACACTTATCATAGTGAGCTGTGGGACATGGCATGGTGAGTCCTGCAGCTCCTCAGAGAGCTCTGAACACCTTCCAGAAAGCCCCAAACCCTCACCATGCTGGAACTGTGTCTCCACTTGCAGGTAGCGCCTGAGCAGGTCCAGCACCACTGTCTTCATGTACCCCCGGATGCCACTGCGGTACCTGGGGAGCAGAGAGCTCACAGAGCTGCAAGGATGTGGCCATGGGGGTGCCAGGAGGGTCACAGACAGCACAGGGCTCACCTCTGCACCAGCTGCACCAAGCTCTGTGTGTTCATGAAGAAGACCTCCCTCTCAGCCTTCCTCTGCAGCATGGCTGCGTGCGTGTCCAGCACGTTGGCAATCTGGGGGGACAGGACATGGGGTCCAGGGTAGTTAACTCCCCCCCTTGCCTGGGGACAGGGCTGCTGCATCTGGAGCCTTTCCCTTGGGTTTTTTTGTCCCCAAGTGAAAAAAAAAGCAAAGTGAGGAATGTAAAACAAACACAGAGATAGAAACACTCAGTATTAAAACAAACACACATAAGGAAACACACACACAAAACCAAACACACATTGAAAAGCAAACACAGGGAAACAAACACATATATAGAAACAGACATATTTCCCTGGCTCGTTTGTTTGTTTCTTTTTTATAGAATCTTGGCAGCACAAATTGAGGCAGAATTCAGTCCCAGTGGCTGCAGTGACAGGGATGGGAGGCCCAGCTCACCTGCTGGCTGGGGAAGCGGCAGAGCACAGAGGTGATGTTGCTGGCATACTGTGCCATCACCTTCCTGATGGACTTCTCCACAGACAGTGGGATTCTTCCTGAAATGCTGGTCATGATCTCCTGCAGCTCCAGAAGGGGCAGAGAGGGGTCTCGCAGGGTCTTCATTAGCTGTGCCACCCACTCCTTCACCTGTGGGAGCAGAAGTTGGTGCTAACCACACTCACTGGTGTTACTGGACTCCCCAGTGCAGCAGGGCAGGACACCTGGGCCACCTTTGCCCCTGGCACCCACCTTGGTGCTGAAGTAGGGCTCGGGCAGGCAGTAGCCGTTCATGACGTTGTTGAGGTTGTCCAGCACGTTACGGAGGATCTGGTGCTGCTTCTCACCAGTGATGGGGAGGGTCTGCTGGGCTGGGAGTGCCCCTGTGAACAGCTGTGCCTGGAGAGGGCAGAGAGAGCTGACCTGTCCTTGCTGGCATGGGATGGAGCCCCTGAGAGCTGCAGCTGTCCCAGGGGAACCTCAAAACCCTCCACTGTCTGCTTTGGGTTAGATGCAGAGGAAACACCTGATGTGCAGCTTCACGGCTCTGCCAGTGTCTTATCATGAAAACAATGCAGAGAAGCTGAAGATTTTGGTCCTATAGATGCACATTTTTAATGCATGTGAGTCTCTGCACACTAGCAAGCAGGTGTGTGATGCTGGCACAGAGCAATGCATATGGAGCAGAACTTGAGCCCCAGCACAGCTGCTTGGGGACACGGCATGGTCATCC